CACCGGGTATAAGGTTTTGGGGGACAGGTTCTGGCCAGCCCTGCGGTGGCAGAGTAGGGAGCTGGGTACGCCTGAAACTGAATTCAGAGCTCTCTGCTGCCTTTGCCTGCTCAGCAAGCCTATCCTCACCTCGTGGGGAATGGCTGCTTTCCTCCCTATGGGACTACTTTTTTTCGACTTTATTTCTTCCAGGAGAGAGGGGGAGAGGAGAGAGAGACAGAGACAGTCAACCCCAATAGGACCTCAAAGCCACGATCCACCACCAGGATGAGTCCCAGCTCAGCGTGTGACCAACCTACTCAGGGAGGTTGCCAGAGGTGAGCCTGGAACCTTCTCCTGTGGGTCAGCCTTGCGGAGCTTGTGTTTCCCCACTGTCTAACCCCAGGGACTGCTTTCTTCCTGAAAGAAGGATGTGGCCCGGATGGAAGGAGCTCTAGTCTAGCACTTCTGCACACCTAGGAGCAGGAAAAGCAGGTGAAGAAAGGGTTCGTTTCTGAACTTGAAGGACTGAAGGCTTTTCTGGTACACGGTAGTAAACGGGACCCCTCAAGGGCTTTCCAAAGCCTGTAGTGTGTATTTTCTAGGCCTTGAAAGCGTTAACGGGAGAAAAAGCTATTCCTGGCTTGTCTGCTCAGACCCCACAACAGCCTAACCGATCACTGAAGGGTGATAACTTTCTTTCCATTCTCTTTCCCACTTGGCTGGGCGTTTCAGGAAACCTCTGCATAAGAAGTTGTGATAATCATTTTTTTTTTTTAAGAGGTTTTTGCTATAGGGTGCAGGCGCTTGCCAGGAAGACAGAGACAGAGAGACAGAAAGCGAGAAATCACCCCTCCAGGGGGGATGGCCACGCCGCAATCCCTTCTCCTCCATTCTCTCAGGATCATGGGCACGCACGCCCACGTGCCTGGCGTGAGTTGAAGCCACCAGGTCTGGGACTCGAACCGCAGTCAACTACATGGGAGTCCAGTGACATAGCCATCTGCTGGTCCCTGTGATAATCCTCTTAAGTGCCTTAGGATCTGGAGCCATTTGGTGTATCTACTCAAGTCCCAGTAAGGTAGCATGGTGGTTAAGGCACTGGACTCCCACATAGTCGACCATGGTTCAAGACTCAGACCCGGCAGCTTGAAAATCATTCCAGTACTTGTGTGCGTGCCCAGAATCCCAAAGAGGAGAATGGAGGAGACAGAATTGCAGGGTCGCCATCCCCCTGGGGGTGGACTTCTCACTTTCACTCTCTCTGTTTCTCTCTGGTGAATGCATGTGCATTATGGCAAAAACCTTAAAAAAAAAAAAAGGCAGAGAAAAACGCAGCCTATAAATAAGGGTATTGCGACATATTCTCCCTGGAAACTTTCCTCCCTGACATGGATATGTTGCTCAGATAAACTTACCAAGTGTGTCCCCAAGTTTCTGAGAAATGAAACTGCCAGGCCCGGGTGTTGCCCAGGAAGAGAGAGATGAAAGGGAAGGCTGGCGGGGCCTGCATTTTCCCTTTCGCAGAAAGCATGAACCGGGCTCTTGGCCTCCTTGGAGAGCACGTGGGAAGCAGATCTCACTGTGCGGAGCAGGCCGGGGTGGCGGTCCTTTGAGGGGTGGCTGGTAGCACACCAGGCCCGTGGGGTCAGGAGACTGTGGTTTCTCTGTGCTTCCACAGCCTTCGTTTTCTCATTGGTGCATATTGTGTGAAGTCCCTGACGGGGTCCTTTAGACTGAGCCCTGCTTTCCTCAGCCCGCATCAGCCTGTCATGGACAAATCCTCCTTCCTGAGCCACACTGCCCCTTATCCAGGCTGGAGGGGCCCCAGATGTCCAGCCCTTCCTGCAGCCTGGCCTCCTTCAGTCCAAGAGGATTTTCTTTCCTCGGAGAAATTGTTCACTGAGCTATCACAATGTGCTGGCCGGAACCTGTTCCCGTTTCTGGTGACATTCTTCGGGCTTCTGTTTAGTTCTTCATACACCATGCTCAGCGAGGCTGCGGGCGGACGTGAGAGAAAGCATGGTCCGCATTGCAGAGGGAGGCCCATTCCAGTGCTGTCCCGTGGCTGACCCAGCCCAGCTTGCTTGGGCCGACCTCCCCCTCCTCTGGACCCCGGTGAGTGGAGGCAAGGGAGGAAGACAGGATCACTTCCAAGGGCCCCTTCAGCTTAGAGATTCTGGCATTCTCCGACTCGGCCGGAAGTGGCTAGGATTCTGATCCCCAAGCCCAAGACCGGAGGCAGCTGGCTGTAGGAAAAAAGGCATTTTTTGACTGAGAAGTTCTGGAAGCTCCTCGCAATCAGTGTGAGCTTTGGCTTTGTTGTCCAATGTTGGGTTGCCCTTCTAGACTCAGAGCCCACACTTGGAGGGAAGCAGGGCTCTCTGGCTCTCAGTCCATGTGCTCCGTGGGGAGGGCACTGACTCTATTTGCACCTGCTCCCTCATCCCACTCGGTCACAGTGATTGGTGCAGAGGTGGGTGTGTGATCTGAGTGCGCCCCAGAGAGACCATTTCAGAATTTGCTCTTTTTTTAAAAAAATAATTATTTATTTAATTTTATTTATTTATTCATTTATTTTTAAATTTGACCAGAGAGAGACAGAGGGTGAGAGTGAGAGAGAGAGGAAGTGAGAAAGCAAGCCACCAGATTCAGGACTCGAACCCTGGTCAGCCCTGTGGGAATGTCCAGTGCCTTAATCACCATGCCACCTGCTGGTTCCGACATAATTCGCTCTTTCTAGCAGAAAAGGGAACTGGACTTTGCACTGGGATGACCGTAAAGATAGACTCTAGTGTGGGCTGATTGGTGGCCTGGGACTGGAGCCACCGAAGCCAGAGCACCACCAGATGATAGAGCCTTCATGGTTTCAGCCCCTGGATCCCATTGAACCTGAAGGCCCAGAACTGTCCCAGAATATTTCAGTAATATATGCCAAGGAGTTCTCTTAGCTTCTATCGCTTTAACCTGCCTTTTCCGTCACTTGCAGTTGATGAACCTGCCACGTTGGGGAAATGTAGAGGTCGCTAACCCCAGACAGGCTTGGAGAAGTTCAATCCAGGAGGAATGGGGCTAGGATGGAAACCCAGATCTCTCTTTCCACCAGAGTGCATGACCCAAGGAGTTTTGTCATCATTGGTGTTTTATTTTTCTGGCGTCTTTACATCTTGCCACCCGGAAGTGGGTGGGATGCTGGGACATCTTCATGCTGGTTAGTGTCCAGAGAGAATGTTTGCTTTTATTTCTAGTGGAGCTTGATCACACTTTGTTCCCAAACTCTTTCCTAAGCTGTTTTCCAAACATGAACTTCTCTTTTGGTTTTCTGTTTTGTTTTCTTCCCCTCTATCCAAGGACATTTTCTTTTCTTTTTTCTTTCTTTCTTTTCTTTTTTTTTTTTTGAAGAGATTTTTTTGTTAAAGGGCATGTGTGCTTGCCAGACAGACAGAGAGAGACAGAGAGACAGAAAGCGAGAAATCGCCAGAAAGACAGAGACAGAGAGAAAGAAAGCGAGAAATCATCCCCCAGGGGGGATGGCCACACTGAAATCCCTTCTCCATGCACATGTGCCTGGCGTGAAGCCGCTGGGTCCGGGCCTCGAACCATGGTCGGCTGCATAGGAGTCCAGCGACATAGCCATTACGCTAACTGCTGGTTCCCGAAGGGCATTTTCTTGACTACCACCTAGTTGCTTAATTTTTGTTTTTTTTCCCCCATAGGATATATGCATGGATGAGCTAGAGAGAGAAAAAGAAAGAGTGAAAAATCACATCGTGGGAGGATGGCCATGCTGCATTCCCTTCTCCATTCTCCTCTTGGGATTTTGGGCATACATGCATGCGTGCCTGGTGTGAGTCTCAAGCCGCGGGGTCCAGGACTCGAACCATGCAGTTGGCTGTGTGGGATCCTGCTATCTTAACCTCCTTACCACCTGCTGCCCCCTCGATCGGCTGTATTCTACTTTAAAGATACTTCCCCAGGACCCAGGTGCTTTGTCACTGTAATGCTCTGCCCTACAAGCTGGAAGTCACCCAGCTGACCGCTCGTTCAAATTCCTGGGTCGGCTTGAAAACACCTGGCATGAGCATGGGTGCCCAAGATCCTGAAGAGCTGGAGGGCTGGGGGAAGGGGATCGGTGGGATGAGACTGTTGAGGGTATCTTTTTCTCTCACCCTCTTTTGTCTGTATCCACAATGATCTCTAAAACAAATAAAAAATAAAAAACACTTTCCCAGGTGAGGGTCTGAAAGCAGTGTTCAGCTCTCAGTAAATGTTCTAGTAATTGGTAGTTCGTCATGGGCCGAAGGACCTCGCTTCTTTCTTCCAGTCCACCAAACATGAACAGGTTTTCTCTCTTCTTTTGAGTGGTTTTTACCTCCTGAAGCCTTATCAATACCTGAGCAAGAGGTGGCCATTTGTCTTGGTTCTGGCCTAGATAAACGTGTGTGGCCCCCCTCCTCCTTCCTACCCCTGCAGCCAGCCCTGTCACAATGTAAACCACCTAGAGTCCTGGGCCTGAGATAAGAGACCTGGTGTCAGGCAATACTCCAGTTAGTCTCACACCCATTCCAGCTCCCCTCCCCCCTCTTGTCCTCTACCATAGTGGTGGAAAGTGACATTCTCAAATTCCCAGGCTCCTTTACAGCTAGTGGTGGCCATGTGACTCAGGGGTGGGCAAGGAACAATAAGCAGAAATCTCTAGGAAGGGGGTTCTCTTCCCAAATAAGGCAAACCTTGAATGGAGATGACTTTGAGTCCTGCTTTCTTCCTGCCTGGAACATGGATGCTATGTCTGGAGGTGCAGCAGCCATCTTGAGACTATGAAGATAAGAATCGTATGCTGTGGATGGCAAAGCAGGAAGATAAAGGAATCTGAGTCATTGATACCTTGAAGAGATACACAAACCCTGGATTTTTTTTTTTTTTTTTTTGGAGAGGTTTTTGCTATAGGGCATGTGCGCTTGACAGAGAGACAGAGAGACAGAAAGCGAGAAATCACCCCCCAGGGGGGATGGCCACACCGCAATCCCTTCTCCTGCATTCTCCTCTTGGGATCTTGGGCACGCATGCATATGCTCCTGGCGTGTTTAAGCCTCCGGGTCTGGGACTCGAACCGCAGTCGATTACATGGGAGTCCAGCGACGTAGCCATTATGCTAACTGCTGGTCCCACAAACCCTGGATTCTGTATGTTCCCTGGACTTCTCCCTACGTGAGAAAAACAACAACAACAACAACAACAAAAAACACTCCTTACTTGTCCAACCACTATTTGGTGAGATTTGTTAAATGCAGAGTTTTTTTTTTTTTCTTTAAACTTTTTTTTGCCATCGGGCACATGCCCTCACCAGAGAGAGATGGAGAGAGGCAGAGAGAAATCATTCCCTGAAGGGTGATGGCCATACTGCAATTCCTTCTTCATTCTCTTCTAGGGATCTTAGGTATGTGTGTACGTGCACCTGCTGTGTTTTCTCAGGTTGCTGGGTTTGGGACTTGAACTGTACTGTCGGCCGTGTGAGATCCAGCTGCCTTAACCTCTGCACCACTGGCTAGTCCAACTGCAGCGTTCTTGTCTCACGTACCTGGCTCTGTTCCTAGCTATGTTCTAACTTGCTGTGTGGTCCTGGCGAATTGGCTTCACCTCTTTGGGCCTCTGTTTCCTCATTTATGAAATAAATATTTGCAAGTATATGTTTTACAAGATTTTAAAAAATGACTCTAACATAGTCTGATTTTGCTCTTTCTCTTTCTTTTCTTTTTTCTGTCTTTCTTTTTTTTTTTTTTTTTCTGTAAGGTGGGTGTGCTTGTTGGAGAGAGACACAGAGAGAGAGAAAGTGAGAAATCATCCCCCAGAGAGATGGCCACATCATAGGCCCTTCTCCATTCTCCTTTTGGGCATGCATGCACATATGCCCCACATGATTTTCAAGTCGCTGGATCTGGGACTTGAACCATGGAGCCAGTCTTGTGGGATCCAGTGCCTGAACCACCATGCCACCTGCTGGTCCCATCTGATTTTTTTTTTTTTTTTAAAAAGAGACAAGGCCTCACTGTGTTGCTCAGGCTGGTCTCGAACTCACTATCTTCCTGCCTCAGCCTCCAGAGTATCTTGGGTTACAGGTGCAAACCATCATGCCTGACTATTTTTTTTTTTTTAAGTTTATCTCTGAGGCTAACAGGTTGGCTTGGTGGCTAAGATGATAGACTCCCACATGGTCAACTGTGGTTCGAGTCCCAGACCTGGCGATTTGCTTTCTCATTGCCTCTCTCTCTCACTCTGTCTCTCTATGGTAATAAACACATGTGCCCTGTAGCAAATTAAAAATAATAATGATAACGATAAAAATTTAAATAAATAATTCTTTTAAAATACGAATTATTTATTTAATTTTATTTATTCAGTCGTTTATTTTCATTTGACCAGAGAAAGACAGACACACAGAGAGAAGGAAAGTGAGAAAGCAAAAGCCACCAGGTCCGGGACTCAAACTATGGTCGGCTATGTGGAAGTGTCCAGCGCTTTAACCACCATGCCACCTGCTGACCCTTAAATAAATAATTCTTTTAAAAAAGTATATTTCGTTCTTCCATTAGCACTCTCACCTGGTCCCCAACGCTGCAACCCATCCCCAGCCTCTGCTAACTCCAGATCGCGGGCACGCACATGCCTGCTATACTCAGGGAAATCTCTGGACACTCGCGAGGCTGGAACCTCCCCACAGGGCAGCTTTCCGGAGTGTCGTGTGTTACTGCTGTGCCACTCTCAGGCTCCTACTGTGATTTTAAGTGTAGTTTTCTTTTTCTGTCGTCTCTAATCCGAGTGCCTTATCATTTCAGACTGCCATCCAGTTTCCTGACTTCCAGATCTGTTGTAACCTTCTAAATTTTCCACATTACCCCCGATTAACCCAAGTCTAGGAACATGGCATTGTCGTGCCTGAAAATTGTAATGGTTCTTCTTTTTTCTTTTTGCTATTTAAAAAAAATTTTTTTTTTGGAGAGGTTTTTGCTATAGGGCGCGTGCGCTCGCCAAAAAGACAGAGAGAGACAGAGAGACAGAAAGCTAGAAATCACCCCCCAGGGGGGATGGCCACGCCACAATCCCTTCTCCTCATTTCTCCTCTCGGGATCTTGGGCACGCACGCACACGCGCCCAGTGTGAGTTTTTTAAGCCACTAGGTCCGAACCATGAACCGTGGTCGCCTACATGGGAGTCGAGTGACATAGCCATTACGCTAACTGCTGGTCTCGTAATGGTTCTTCTTACCCACAGACTGGAAGAGTGAGCCTCTGGACACTGGAGGCTTCAGTGAGTTAGCTCAGTTTACCATTCCTTTAACTGGTCCGTTCCATGGATCGCCCCTTAAATGTCCTGTGACCACACTTGGATTCACTGCTTGGGACATTGGGCCCGAGTTTGAGGGGAAGGGGGAAGACAGAGATCAACTCTTTCTTTAAA